ACAGGTCCTATTTCTCCTTTTTGCTTCCTATCACTTCTCATTACTCTTTTTTACTTCCTTTCATCTTCTATTACTTCTTATTACTCCATTGTTATTTCATTTTTTATTAGCATCTTTTTTCTTGATCATTGTAATTTACTTATCTTTTCTTTTATTTGTATCACTTCATTAAAAAATAAATACAGTGATTTTTTTCTTTAAAATCGTAAATGTGTGATTTAAATTTTAATATTTACAAATAAATTTTATTAGATAAGATTATTTTGGATAAATATGTTTGCAAAAAAAATTTTTTTGAAGTTTTAGCCGATCAAAGATTAGCTAAGTTTGAAAAAATCAGCCGTCAGCCGATTAATAAATTTACTCTTTATATATTGTACATCATGTGACATATTTAAAAAAAACCCAGGTGACAATCGCCTAGGCAATTCCCAATTATATTTACAATAATGTAGTTATTTATATATTAAAGATTTGACGTTTAAGTGTAGAGTGAAATTCGTATTAATTAAGAAAAAAAATTAAATAAAAAAATCAAAATAACAAAAAAAGTGTTATAAAAAAAAATCAAATAAAAAAAAATCAAATAACAAAAAAAAGTCATAACGGGAAAAAATATTTATAAAAAAAATTACGTAAAAAAATGGGTTTAGTCTATAAAAAAAATATAACCTTCTTAATTTCGGTAACAATATTGATGATCTGCAATTCGGAATTCATACCTTGAACTTACCGATATTAACCTAAATAATCTAGAAAATAAGGAGCAAAAAAAAACTTACGCTAACATGGAATAGATTAGGCGCAAGCAGAAAATATATTACACAATTCAAAACTATTTATACATGCTACTCTAAACTTCATGTATTTTTTTAGTTATATAGATAGATTTAAATTAGTGGTTATATATTTTTATATATCATATGTTTCTAAATTTGGAGTTTTCTTTCCCTGGCTGGAACTAACTAAATAACTAATAGTAATTAACAATTCATTTTATTAATTATATATCATTTTTAATATTTAATAATCCGCCGCTTAAAATTTTGCGTTTTTTTCGACTTTTTCGTGTATTATCCCGTGACATTTAAAACACTTTGCCATAAATTATAGTGTAAAAATATTTTCTTAAGAAATTCTTTATGAAGTTCGAAATAAATATTCACCATGACTTATTATTGAACCAACCATATTCTTCAATTTTCGGTTAATTCAAATCTTCGATATTTTATCGCAAAGCACGAGATAGTCGAGATATACTCAATAAATCTATTCACGTGACTAATTAAACGTTGGTTTACAAAAACCCATATAAATCTATCATCTTTCTTCACTAATTTGGTTAGTGGTCTAGGATTTTCTATAGTACGAACATAGTCCTAATATCAATCTTAACCCTTTTACGGTTTCAGGTTGATTTAGTTTCAATTTCAATCGAAATTAATTGATTGTATTATTTAAAAAGTATTTATATTCAGTTATTTACTATACCAGGGTGATTCAGAATAAAAATCCGTTATATTATTCCCTGTAAAAAAAGCCGATCCATTTTTTATATTCCATCTTTTTTCCGTAAAAGGCTCATATTTCCGGAATTAATAGCCTTATATCACGGAATTTATCAAATTATTTACATTTCCGTGAATGAATCCGGGAAAGGCTCATTTTTACGGAGTTTTTACAGAAATAACGGATGAAATTTTTTATAGGGGTTTGTATATTATTTATTTATCAAAATTATTGGACATCATTATAAATATTTGCTACATACTAAAATTTTTTTTTCTGTCACTAGTTGATTCTGCGTAAGTTTATATGCGTGGGTTCATTTATATACTAATCAATTTGGATTTTTTTAATAGGTTTTCGCGTTTGATAATGAAATTTATTTGAATATAATTATTATATGTAACTTTACTGTTTCTGATGTATATAATAAATTTGATTATACAAGTGTGACGCTTATGATTAAGCTTATCTTTTGCATACTAACTTTTTTAATAACTGTATACGGGTTTCTATTTGAAATTCATTATTTCCATTCTAAAACTAATTAAGGATCCAAATTATTCATTATAAACCAGTTTACAATCAACGATTGCAGTACATATTAAATGGTGCATTTCGTTATTATGAAAACTCCGGTAAACATAATCAATCATTTAATTATAAAATGAACAATATTAAAATTCTATTATGCATTATAAATGATTATTTACTAAAAATAACTATTTTTTTTAAGCAATGAAAGACCATATTTCAAAGTGGAAAAATCGTATTTTAACTAAAATCATTATAGTAATTTTTTGGAATTAGTTTAGTATTAGTTTCACAACCACTGTGTTACATGATCATCTTATACATACCGGTCTTATTATCTTATTAAAAAAAAATTTTTTTTTTTTTTTTTTTTCCACAAAAAGAGAAATTATTATTATTATTTTTTTTGGCATTTTTACCACAAAAAGAGAAAAAAATTAATTTGTAATATTAAGTCTACTTTTACTATTCAATTAAAAAATTCGCTTTCTCTTACGTTAATAGATTATGATAGAATATATTAATTTTTATTTTGAAAATTTTTGTGTAAAAAATGTCATATTCCGTTTTATGGTACAATGGTTTCATCGATCATTAGAGAAAATTAATAATTTAATAATCGGGGGACGGACTCCAAAATTAAGTAATTAATTCCTTTTGAGATCATGTAAAGTTAGTAAAGTTAGTACATATGCATATCTACGAACTTTATGTCACATAGACTAAGCCAATTACCATTGACAACTATGTAAATCTTATTCATATACTACTTTGAATATCACTTGGAAAGAATCATTATTACTGCAATAGGAGGAAACTTGAAAAACAAAGATCAAATATGCGTGGAAAAAAATTTTCATAAAAAAAAATATATTTATATGAATACTAAATATAAGATCCACCTATTCAATTTTCTTTTTTCTTTACCTCAAAAAATTATAAAACAAAAAAAAAAAAAATGATTGACGAAGTGAAAGACAACCCTGAAACTAGGACTTCAATAGATTATGAGCAAGAAGTCATAGTTGTTAAAAGTTGTGTTAAAGATGTTGATAATACTTTTAATGAAACAATCACTAGTTACGAAAATGCAAGATCGATTAAAAGCAAAAAAATATCGAGTAGAAACATAATAAGTTCTGGTAGTGGTATCACCCTTTATGAAAAAAAGAAAGATTATCAAATCGAAATTTGTCAAGATGGAAAATTTGTCGCTACATTCGATACAGGTAATTTCATTATTTCATATTTGTTGTTATAAAATGATCAATTTTAACGTTTAATTCTTTCTTTTAAAACTAGCAAACCTTCGCATTAGAATATTGAAGAACACTGATCGTCGTCCACTTAAGAACAATGATCATAACGAATCCGATGAAATTAACGAAACGATTGTACATTTTGAAATAAAAGATGATTTTACTATTTGTAAATTTTTTAATGAGGGCAACGATGAGGTCAACAACCAAGAAGAAGATGAAATAATTAATTTTAATAATAACGCCATTGATTCTTCAAATAGTGACGAATATAATGAAACCAGATTGAGCGATAGATGGTCTTTTGATATATCTAATGTATGCAGGAAGAATGATAATAAATACTTCATTTTTGTTGCCGTATCTAATATAGATGATGAGGATATGAAGAGTAAAACAGAAGGAAGAAAGAAAAGAAAAGGAACTACCACCGTCTACCGCGTTGAACTAAAAATTGATAAAGGAAATTATGTTTTTAATAAAGATACTAAGACTATTGTCTATCATATTTATGGCGTTTCAGGATTATGTAGATTTGTAGAAGTATCCAAAAACAACGAAAATACAGAAGTTTCTAATTTAAAGAGTGAAAATAAATATTTTGCGTTAAGAAGATTCATAATATTGAACTTTGATGGTATACACAGTTTTAATTGTAAAGATGATTTTAATTTTTATAAGAAACTTAATTATCCGAAACGTGTCAGAGATGAATTAGATTTGTCAAAAACATTTGATTGTATGAACCCACTTCGTTCGTGTATTTATGATAAATATTTTTTGGTTGAACACTATAAAGATAGTGTACAATTACTTGAAGGTAATAATCAAATTTTAAAAATTTTATGTTTATTATTATATAGTAGTAAATTAATTTCAGTTCATTTTAATTTTTCTTATTAAGTTTACGATCTAGCAAAAATGAAATTAGAAACAATTACGAAAAGAATAGAAAATAGTCATTATAAATTTGCAAGAAAATATAACAGAAATAATTTTTCGATAAGCGAGAACAAATTACATCTCTGCTTTACACGGGGACTTCAATCTGTAAAGTAAGTAATTCTATCATAAAATCAATTTCATATGAATTCAATCAACTAAATTATATATTACGCTTATTTAAGGATGTATTTTATGGAAAACGGTTTGGAGGCCATATCAAAGAAATTCGATGAGATTGAAAAAATTCACTTAATAGAATTCATTGAAAGAGATAGGAAACTACTTGTAATAGGTAACAGCGCCTCAGAAGAGAAAAAATTGAAGCTTATAATCTGGAACATGTACAATGTTGGAGAAATTGAAACAATGATGGAATTAGATGATTTTCTTACGATAGATAATTTAGGTACTCGTTTAGCCAGAACTTCGGGAAATCTTTTACAAGTTGATAATGAAGGAAATGTTAAATCTATTCTTAAAAGGCTTGACAAATTATTAAAACAACAACAAGAAACAGAAGACAATAAAGGATTAAGTGATTTAGATATAAAACGATTAAAAGTTATAGAGCCTAATGAAAGACTTATTGTACATTATAATGAAAACATAAATCCAAATTTCAAACCAACATTCATTATGAAAGAACCATGGGTATTGAGTGATTATGAAAGAAATTCATTTTGTCTTTATCAGAATAAAAATGGATCAGAGATAGAAACTTTACAACTTATAGTTGGTAGATCTACTATTCAAGTTTGGCATCAAATCAATTTTGACGATAAAAATAAAAGCAAGGACAAACTTCCTAACAAAGGAGAACCATTTCTTGAATATATATGGACAAATGGTATTCCGGTAAATCAAGAAAGTGAAAAAACAAGATTACAGATTGAAAAATTTGAATATGAATCGAATGATGATAAATTAAATGATTTTAAATTAACCGATTTTTGCTTGAAAGTTTATTGGTACGAAGGAGTTTCAAAGGACGTGAGTGAAGATGAACTCGGAATAAAAAAAGATGATGATCATATTGAAATTAATAAAATGGAAAAGGAAAAGGACGAAGAACCAAGAATGGAAAGTAAAAAAGATAGAGAAGCGATAATCGAAATGGGAAAGGATGGAAAAAATCAAGTGGAAAGAAAGGTAAAAGAAATTCGACGGCAAGATATTATTGAAAAAGTTAATGCAGTTAGACATGCATGTAAAGCATTGGAATTTATCAATAAACGTACGAAATTTCTTGTAAATTACACCAAAAAACATATCGTAAGTGTTTACTATAACGAATTCATATATATTCTTGCAAAATAACTGAATTAATATTTATTTAATATTTAAAAAGTGTGAGGAAATGGTTGCATATATTAATCGTATAATATGGAGATTTATCAAGTACAAGCCTGACGACTTTAAATTGCTAGATGTCCGACATAATGTTATGAAAAATTTGATTCTTGGTGATTGTGATCATTTGATAAAATTTATATTATTTGGAAATGATGATAACGATAAAAAAGCCAATAAATTACATATACCGAGAAAAACATTTTGGAAAAAAAAGAAGACTATAAATGACGATACTGAAAAGTATGAAATAACGAATGTTATGGAATTAGCGATCTATCATTGCAAAGGTAAATTTTAATTAATTAATTTTAATTATTATATATATCAAAGAACAGATTGTTTAACTTTTTTAATAATATAGGTCGTGAAATTAAAGATACCATTATTGTTGCTTATCTTTTAGAATATTATACTAGACACGCAATAGACTATGTAGGTTGGATGAGTACCGTTTCTAAGGCGCTTCCTCTATTATTTAAATATAATTATGGTTCGTTATTTTTTTAGTTGATCTATTTTTGTTATACAGTAGTTCGGAAAGGATTTAAAGTTTAACGTAATTTTTATTTATGACAGATGATTATGTCAAAAAATTATTTCGTAAAGAATGTTTTGTGAATCAAAATTATTTTCCAGCAAAAGATCATTATAATATTATTCCAGAAGAATATCAAAAAAGACGTGGAATGAAATTTAGAGCGTTTGAAGTCAATTTATATTCTAACAAAATTAAATGGTATAATGTGGTTTGGAAATTATTAAAATCTTACAGAAATAAAACGTATAAATTTTTTGGAGATATTGATAATAATGATATCGAAAATCATCCATTAGCTTTACGAGTGGTTCCGCTTCCTGAATTTACTGTAAATTGTGCTCCTCAGCAAGATAAATCAAAGGAAAAAATTTTCTTAAATATTTTATTATTCTTATTCATACCACGATGGTACAATGTTGGTCGGAAAGAAAAAAATAAGTTGAGCCCTTTTTTTAGGGTAGTGCGTTATGAGGACAATGACGATATTTATGACAATCCAGCAACCGAAGCAATAATAGACTTTCGTTGGAAAAGAGCGAGAACTCACTTTTTCTTGCTCTTTCTTCGATTTCTTCTTTATGTCCTTTGTTTTGGATTAGTTAGTTGGGCATATTTAGATAACACCACTATTATGAATGTAGATTTTTTAAAGACATTAATTGTTGTATTCTACTATTTAGCAGCTTATTTATCCGCTACAGAAGTTATACAATTAATCTTTCATGGACCCAGAAAATATTTTGAAAGCATATATAATATTTTTGATATATTTTCAATTGTATTTCCTGTGATAGTAATGTCAATAATGCTTAAAGATTTTCGGTTTTCTGATGGTTTTGGAAGCGTCGAAAAAGCTGATACTGGATTAATTGTGTTGATAGCTTCTTCAGTTTTTTTCCTTTGGATTGAAGGGGTTAGTCTTTGGTTTTGCAATTCCGCATTTAAATTAGCTAATATTATTTAATAAACTCTTATAATTTTTTAGATTTCGTATCTTCGCTTAATACCAAGTAAATATAAATTTTCTTTATTTGATTTTCTTTTACGAAATGAAATTATTAATAATCATTATCACTTTTTTTTTATTAGACATCGCCATTTACATTTACTATGTTATAATTATTACCAAAACCGTATTTCCATTTATTTTATTTAACGGCATCGCAATAATTGCATTTGCACATACAATGTATTACTTTTACTTTTAAAATTCAATTAATTTATATATTTTTTAAATGTAAAATAACAAAATTTTATTTATATATATACTGTACATAGGTTTATTCTGCTTAAAGAGACAAAGAACATTAAAATTAAAGATTCAACATTTAGTGGAACCGCTACAAATCCTTTAAACGGACAAGAACTTAATGTCTCAATGAAAGCTAATTTTGATCCTACAGATCGGAACGATAATCCATTTTCATATTTTCCTACAGCAATGGTAGCTACATTTTATTGGCTTAGTGGTGATTATGTTCAAAGAGACGCATTTGATTCTTGGGCTGTTGAAGTATTTACCTTGATCGCCAGTATCCTTTTAGTAATTATTTTGCAAAATATGTTGATCGCTTTTATGGGGTAAGACGTTGTTCACTATTATTTTATAGAACATATAAAAATTATTTTTATGCATTTTATTTATTCATTTATTTACTTTAGTGGTGTGTACGAAAAAGCGGCAACTAAAGGTAGACAAGCTTTATTAAGATTTAGAGCAAATCAAATTGCAAATTATGAAGCATTATATCCAATTCATTTTCCACCTATTGAACGTGATCCCAAATACATTTATTATGTTGGTCAATCTAAAACTTTTGAAACGTGGTATGAGGATAGAAAAGATGATTGTGCTATTTTTAAGGATTTTGAAAAGAAATCTACTTTTGAAGAATTCGTTTTTAATGAAAAGAATTACGATAAATTTTCAATTTGGGATTATGATGTTGATATTGAAAGTGAAATTGAAAAGTTCAAAATAATGAAGAACAGTTTAAATGATAATATCGAAAAAATGATAAAAAATCTTGAAGATCGAAAAAATAATGATAATGCCAATGATATCGATATTGATGAGAAAGTTAAAATGTTGAAAGCTATAAAAAATTAATTTATATATGCTGTAGGTGCGTATTTGGTTATTATATTATATTTCTCTAATTTTATAATTAGTATTTCAATCTTGAATCTTGAATCTTGTATTTATATATTTTTTATATCACGTATTTTGACCTCAATAATCTTTATATTCTATTTCATTAGGTTGTTAGAGTAAAATATTAGTTTCTTTCCTTAAGAGCGAGTGTTGGTGTTATGAGAAACGAATGATCCACAATCACGTGATATAGCCAATAAATCTCTAGCACGTGACTAATTAAAGTGATTGTCTGATAGCACTTTCTTTAGTTAAAACTTTAATTAGTTCTTATTTGAATTTTTAACAATTAACACTTAAATGACTAGTTGAAATCAATTGATTGACTAAGTTAAAAAGTATTTAGTTCTAAACATTAATAAACAGAATTTTTAACTATTCAAATGTTCGATGTCATTACGAAATACGTAATACAGTAGTAAGTAATACACGGCGGTCGTCGTGTTATAAATAACTAAATTTTACAAATTATGAGGTTTCTGCAAATTATTTATTAATTTGATTTTTTTTTTCTATATACTATTTAATGAAAGTATAAAGAGTTCTTTTTATTTTTACTATAATAGAGTTACTCAGAAATAAGAAAATACGTTATAATACATAGTAGTATTATTTGTATATTATTTATTTATCAAAATTATAGGACATCAGAAAGTAAAATAAAAATTATAAATTCTATAGTGACTAAAAATATTTGCTATCATATACTGTATATTCTTCTACTACTAGTAATTTGAATATTACATGTTGTATCATGTCCTAAATCTAATTTAAACAAATCTAATCTGAAACATTAGAAGAGTATGATCTATTTAATGAACATGATAAGGTTTGAAATATGATTAAGTTTCAGATATGAATTGTATAAATTCATTCAAAATTGGAGCTGAAACATGATCGAATTTGGGGGATGTGCATTGCGTATGTTGATTGATGCAAGTTTGATATACGTGGGTTCATCTATAACCAATTAACTTGTTAATTTGGTTTTTTTATAAGTTTCGCATTTGATATAATTAATTTTTTTATAAATTTAATAAAATTTATTTAAATATAACGATTATAAATTATTCTGCAAATGATCTACTATAGTTATTGTGGCCTTGTGACTAGATGCTTGATTCCTATAAAGCAAAATCTAGTTATAAAAGTGTTGGTAAGTTAAGTATGGTAACTAAATCAGGTTATAAAACTACTTACACCTTCAATGTTCATATCTTCATAATAGTTATTGGGTTCATGATCGTGATCAATCACTAATTTCGTGATGACTATTTGTGCCATTTATATTATTTTGCCCTAAAGCACCTAAATCCCGTACAGCAACATTATTCATCATGGTTTGATCATTACCATCATTTTATGGTGATTATTTATTATGCCATTTATATTATTTTGCCCTAAAGCACCTAAATCTTGTACAGCACCATTACCCATCATGGTATGATTATTATCATCATTTTCGTGATGACCATTAACATTAACATGTAGTTGTGATTGTGAATTCAAAACTTTACAAGGATGATAGCTACTATCACGAATACAACACTGATGATGGGGATGGCGAAAAGATGATGAAGAGGATGAGGGCCAATACTAACACCAGAGTCGGAACCGCCACCAGAACTACCAGAACCACCACAACCAGTGCCATTCCCAGCATCATTGCCAGAACCATTGTTATCAACGGCTTTTATACTATCAGAACAGTACCAGAACTGATACTAACACTATCATTATGATAATCATAATTGTCAACATGATCATAGTCTTGTTCTTTGGAATCTTGACAAAGTGGACAATATAGATCAGGAAAAAATTGGTTTTGTTCAATACAGTTTCGATGGAATAAATGTCTGCATGTTAAGATAGTGATCGTTTTAAAAGTTGTGGTAGTATGTCCTCTTTGCAATTTCCATAAAAATATAAGTTTTGAGGAGCTCCTTTAACTCATAAATCTATAATAAAAATTTAGTTAATATATATTGCAAGTTTAGAACTTACTGTTATATCCAATATATGGTTCGCGAATTCTGTGATTAGATATCGTTTGCAGAAGTTGATTTCTTAAAATTTTGAAAAAATTGAGGACAAAGATATTTGGAAATCAGTTTTTTTGTTTTTTTTTTTAACTAGTAAGGATGTAGGGAAAGACGGGTTTTAAGTTTAATACAGTAATAGTAAAAGTATAGGTTATTAAGCAATTACGGTCTTTAAGCCTTCATATATCTTATGATTACAAATCAAACGATCAGTGCAAACTTCCGATATGACAAACAATATGAAATTTGGATATGCGTGTCCATTTGATATTAAGCAACTATGGTAAGCTTTTAAGCCATATATATATATCTAATTATAATCCACATCGATAAATATTTTTATTATTTATAAGTTATAAATTAAATCTTTTAATTTTAAAATGTTTTATATTCATGTAGAAATTTCATAATTAAAAATTTTCTTTTTCGCAATATGGCGATAAAATAATCGTAATATTCGAAATCATCACAATTTTCAACGCGGCTTAGCTTTTTTCTATAAATGTAGATCAATCCTTTTTTGGAGACATTAGTTAATGAAATTTAGGCCAACTAATTCTGTAGATTTTGAGAAAACTGGACAAAATCATGAGATAAAATTTTCTTTTTTGATTTTAAAAATATATAGTAAAATTCCAATATAGACGTTGAAAAGACAATAAATAAGATTAAATTATTTTAAATTTTTTACTCAAAAATATGAAACAACTAAATTAAATGTGTAAAGATATGCGATAACGACATAAATACGTTTTAAGATTGATGAGTTTATTTGATTTGGAATCTTTAATACGAGTTGACACCTATTATCCTTTGTAATTTTATTAAACAAAAATAAAGTCCTTAATAATTTAATGGAAATTTCGGAAATAATAATGAGCGAAGGACTCTATCACGTGACAATTATACACGTGATTATTTACATAAAAATCAGCCCATGTGGAATGCATATCTTAAATTTAAAAATAAAAATTTTTAAAAAAAATCCGAAACTATATATTAAAAAAAAAATTAAATCAATTACATTAATAAAAATTTTCCAATAAATTTTCCAATAAATTTTATAAAAAAAAATTTCTAGCGAAATTCTTTATTTAAAAAAAATTTCAAGCCAAAATTCTCAATACTCATTTAAAAAAATTATTTTCAATAAAATTTTCTATTAAAGGACTTTTATACGAAATTCTCCATCAAAAAAAGACTCACTTATAAAAAAACCTTTCAACCAACAAAATTGCCAAAAGAAACTCCTCTATTAAAGAAAAATTTTCTAATGAAATTCTTATCAANAAAAAAATTAAATCAATTACATTAATAAAAATTTTCCAATAAATTTTCCAATAAATTTTATAAAAAAAAATTTCTAGCGAAATTCTTTATTTAAAAAAAATTTCAAGCCAAAATTCTCAATACTCATTTAAAAAAATTATTTTCAATAAAATTTTCTATTAAAGGACTTTTATACGAAATTCTCCATCAAAAAAAGACTCACTTATAAAAAAACCTTTCAACCAACAAAATTGCCAAAAGAAATCAAAAAAAATCTTTCATATAATCTAACGAAATTCTCCACCAAAAAATATTTTCACCTAGTATTAAAAAAATTCTCAAAAGAAATTCTTTATCAAAAAAAAGCTCCCTCCTATTAAAAATAATTCTTTAATGAAATACTTTATCAAAAAAAAAAATCTCCCCATTAAAAAATTTTCTAACAAAATTTATCAAAAAAAACCAAAAATTCTTTTTAAAATGAATTTTCTATAAAGAAAAAATTCTCAATGATTTTTTGCATATTACTAAATATTTTTATACTTTTTTTGTTTCGTGTTTGAAAAGGTGATATTATCAAAGTCGTGATATGTTTTAAACCCCAAATAATCGGTAAGACGCTATAAATGGAATCCAAAAGGATTTGATTTCCATAAATAGAAATCATTGTATGATCGACATGAAAAACAACAAGTGACTTGTTGTTTTTACTTATGGAAAGCCGTCCTTGACAATATGGAAAGCCGTCCTTGACAAAAGGTTGATATCCAGACATCATGTTGGATAATGTCTAGACATCATGTTTGATATATGTAGAATAATGTTTGTACATCATTCAACATGATGCTCAAGCATTAACTGACATGATGTCTTAGACATCATGTTACCAAATATAGTAAATTTTATTTTGTGTAACTTATAAATATACTATATTTGGTAATTTGATCAGCATGATGTCTAGACATCATGTCGGTTGATGTCTTTTACATCATGTTAAATAATGTATAAACATCATCCTACATATATCAAACATGATGTCTAGACATACCATCATGATGTCTAAACATTATATTTCATGATGTCTAAATATTATATTTCATGATGTTTGGACATCAACCTTTTGTCAAGGATGGCTTTCCATAATTCTACATATATTTGACATGATGCTCTAGACATTATCCAACATGATGTCTGGATATCAACCTTTTGTCAAGGACGGCTTTCCATATTTTACAACATGCTTTTGAATTGTACGGTACACCATACTTATACGGCATTGTGTGCAAAAATGGTCTAGCCCATCTCACTAGGTTATTTTCGGCGGGACTTTACATGAATGACACTTCTTTAAAATAAATAAATAAATAAAACGTAATATATTAAATACCTAAAGTATTACAGGTAACTAAAATTAAAATAAAAATTGCATCTACATATTCTATATATACCATTTAATCCTTATATCTGCATTGCACATCATGAGCTTTAATCCTATATTATTTTCATGCTCGCATGCATGCAGATTTGCTAAAGCGATTGGATTAAATTTTTTTTTTTTTTTAAAAAAAAATTCTATATCAATCATCTATTAAAATTAATTAAATCTCAATTACGACAAAACTTTTTATGTGATATGCGAGCACTCTGTGAGATGGAATCTAGATAGAGGTACGGTTTTTATACATATATATATTTATATATATTTTCATTTTTGAGCAGCGCGTGATAAAAAAATATTTTATTTTATTTCATAGAGAATTTCATTATCAGTGACATGTGATAAAAAAATATAGAACATGGAGTAATTATAGTATATAGAAAGTAAAATATCGTGTACTTAAATACTAACCTAATTTAAAATTTTTAATTATGAAGCTTTTTTTTAGATCAAAACATTCAATAGATTTCAATGGTAAATAAACCTTCCATCCCATTCCATTTTTTTAATTTTAATATTATCAACTTTTCTAATTTTATCATAAATATTATTTTGTATTTTCTTTATTTTCTTTTCATTCTCTGGATCATTAATTTTTTTAGACAATTTTTTAATTCTATTATTTAACCTATTTTTTTTTGTTTTAATTTTTTTGATTTCTGATTCGATATTATCGATATCGATATCGTAGTCCCAAATTGAATGATCATCATAATTTCTCCTCTCAAAAATCTGTTTTGTGAATGTAGATTTTTCTTCAAAATCTTTATATATAGCACCTTGATCACCTTTTCCTGCATACCATTCTTCAAATGCTTTAGATTGTCCAAAATAATAAATATGTTTTGGTTCGGGTTCATGACTCCAAAAGTGAATATGGTACAATGCTTCGTAATCTGCTATGTGATTTGCTCGTCGTCTTAATAAAGTTTGTCTACCTTTAGTTTCTGCTTTTTCGTATACACCACTAAGTAAATAAATGTATAAATAAAAGAATATCAAAAAAATTGTGACTATAAATTAATGAAAAGAACTCACGTCATGAAAGCAATCAACATATTCATTAAAAGAACTACAAGAATTACACTAGCAATTAAAGTAAACACATCAATAGCCCAAAAATCAAATTCATCTCTTTGAACCCAATTATCGCCAATCCAAAAATATGTAGTTACAATTGCATTTAAAAAAGTTGAAAATGGATTATCATTAGATTGGGGATCAAAATCAGATTTAAGTTTAACAATAAGTGTCTCATTTGTTATAACATTTGTAGCATTTCCACTGTATGTAGAATCTTTGGTTCTAATATTAGTGGGATCTCTGAGTAGCACAAACCTATATATAACAAATAAACCATAGTTAAAATCATGCATACAGTAAATTAAATCAAATAAAAAAATTTTTTTTCATACATTGTGTGCGCAAATGCAATTATCACAATTAATATAAATAAAAAGAACGGAAATATGGCTTTGAAGATAATTACTGAATAATAAATATAAATACCAATACCTATCAAGTAAAAAAAATGGGTTAATTAGTTAATATAATAATATATCATGAAGGGATATTACTCTTCAACTAAATAATGTATTTTACTTGATAATAAACGAAGAAAGAGAATCTAATTCATTAAAATTGATCAATAATTTTAATAAATATGATTTATGATTAATGATTTATGATTACAGAATAAAAATCAATTAATTAGAAAATAAAATTAAAACTTACCAATTCAATCCAAAGAAAGAAAATTGAAAATGATATTCCAACAATTAACCAATTATTAATTTCTTTAACATTTTTAAACCCATCAGAAAATTGAAAACTTTCAAGCATTATTGACATCATCGTTACAGAAAGTACAATAGAGATTATATCAAAAAGGTTGAATATATCACCAAAATATTTTTTAAAGCCACGGTACTTAAGTTGCAACACTTCGGTAATAAGTTGATAAATTGCCAAATAATAGAATATAATAATTAAGGCAAGTAAAAATTTTCTATTTATAGTAGTACCATGTTTCAAATATGACCTACTAACTAATACAAAACAAATAGCGAAGATAAGAAATCGGAAGAAAAGTAAAATAAAGAAATTTTTTGCTTTTTGCCAACGAAAATTAATAACAGCTTCAGTTGCTGGATTATCATAGATATCATCGTTATTTTCATAATGTATCATTCTAGAAAAAGGGCTTAACTTAGTCCTATCATCCCGCTTAATTTGGTACCATCGTGGTAAAAATATAAACCAAAGAAGGTATAAAATATCTTTTATCCAATTATACTCTTTTTTGTCATTTTCAATGCTGTTTACAGTGAAATTGGGAAGAGGAACCAATCTTAAAGCTAATGGTGATTTTCCAAGATCATTATCATAATTTTCATAATTCTTAATTATGTAACTTTTAAGAGATTTAATTTTTATTCGTATATAATCGTACCACTTAATTTTATTAGACTTTAATCTGACCATTGGTCTAAATGCTCTAAATTTGATATCATGATTACGTCTTGCCAGGTATTCTGGTGGAATAATTTCATTAGGATCTTGAACCGAAAAATGGTCTTGATTTGCAAAACATTCTTTAAAAAATAGCTTTCTAGCATAATCATCTATTGAATAATATAGAAACAATAAATTTTATAAATTCTTTTCAAATAAAAATAATTAAATTGGAATTAAAAAACAAACCGTAATTATATTTAAATAATAAAGGAATTGCTTTAGAGACAGTGCACATCCAACCTGCACAATCTGTTGCATGTCTGGAATAATATTCCAAAAGATAAGCAATAATAATTGTATCTTTAAGTTCACGACCTATAATAAAAACAAATTTATTTAATTGTAAAAAGCAATTTAAATGTAAATTATGAAAACACTTAATAAATAAATTAACCTAAATTTAACTAATGCTGATAAATAATGCTTCACTATAAAATTAAGACTTACCTTTGCAATGATAAATTGCCAATTCCATATTATTTTTTGGCTCAATTTCTTCATTATCTTCCAGCTTATCATTTCCTTTATTGAAGTAAAGATCATCATCTATTAGAAACTTTTTTCCTGGCCATAATTCATTACTTGGTATATATCTCGTTTTAACTTCTTTTTGTCCTTTAAAAACTTTATTACAATCATCAAGTTTTTCATCTCCAAATAATATAAATTTTATTAAATGGTCACAATCACTAAGAATCAAATTTTTCATAAGATTATATCGAACACACAATAATTTGAAAATTTCGGGTTCATATTTAGCAAATTTCCAAATTATATGTTTGATGTAGCCAATAATCTTCTCGTACTTTTTATTTAAAAAGAAATATTAGTTACTTTGTTTTCCTAAAAACAAATAAATTCAATAACTAAAATCAACCTACTTTGTGTATTCTAATGTAATTATTTGCAAGGCGGTTACTTATAAAGCGCTTATTAAGATGTTCTAATGCCCTGCAAGCATGTCTTATTGCATGAAATTTTTCAATAATATCTTTTTTTTCAATTACTTTTTCTTTCCTTTTCACCTTTTCACTCTTTTTAATATCTTTGTTTCCTTTTTCTATTTCATCTATTTCTTCATCTTCCTCTGTAATATTTGCACTCTCTTTCTTATCTTTCTGCAACTTTCTTTCATACCAATAAACCTTTAAATAAAAATCATTTAATTTGTCGTTTAATGTGTCATGTGATCCATTTGATGTGACAGGTGATCCATAACTTTCAGGCTGTTCAATTCGTAATCCTGTTTTTTCTCTTTCTTGGTCTATCGGCATACGATTTGTCCATATATATTCAAGAAATGGTTCACCTTTGTTAGGAAGATCATCTTTGTCTATAATATTTTCATCATCAGAATTGATTTGATGCCAAATTTGAACAGTGGATCTACCAACAATAAGTTGTAAAGTTTCTGTTCTTTCTCCTTCTTTATTATGATATAGGCAATGAGGGATCTCATCATATTTATCTAACATCCATGGTTCTGCGCAAATCATTTTTTTACCATCCACAAAACAACTAAGAGGTGCAAAATTTTTCTTTTTTCCAATTTTTTCCTTTTTACACTCTTCTAATTTGTTTTCAACTTTTTCGAGGACTGAGTAAATCCTTCCATTATTTTCGATTTGCAAAATATTTCCCGAAGTTCTAGCTAAAGAAGCTTTAATCGTTACAGGCTTATTTATTGGAAAATTGTCTAACTCTATTGGTTCATATTCAGCAGTATTATATATGTCCCAAATAATAGATACTATCTTTCCTTCACATTCGCCAATTATAAATAATTTTTCATCACTATCAATAAATTCTAACAAATATATTTGTTTTATTTCGTCAAATTTTTTTGATGTTATTCGTAAACCATTTTCCATATAAAACAAACTAATAAATTAATAAAATATATAAGTAATGCAATTAGAAGATAAAAACGATTAATTACATAACTTACTTAATAATATCAATTCCTTGAGTATAACACAAGTGTAACCTGCTAACTGAAAATTTATCAGAATAGAGTTGTTGTTTTATGGGTTCATCCTTTTTTTCACATTTCTTTGCAGCGGTTTTTAATTCCATTTTGGCCAGATTATAAACTAAAGATAGATTGTAATAATTTAATCTTTGGTTGTATTTAATAGATAAACAATTTTAAATTTTTACCTTCAAGTGATCGCACGTTACTTTTATATTGCGTGACCAAAAAATATTTATCGTAAATACATGAGAGAAGACGTTTCATACAACCACCGAATTCGTAGGAGTTATCATCGACATGGAGATCATGTGAATCACGTGCATCTGCAAAGTCACGTGTATAGAAATTATCTAATTCATGTCTAAAGCTCTTTGGATATTCAAATTCTTCATTCAATTCAAAAGGATCATATTGATCATTAAAATTAAAATTATATATCATATGAAAATTCAATATAATAAATCTTTTTAGTTTAGGATCATGTGGTGATTGCTGTTGTGATGATTGCTGTTGTTTTTGTTTCAGCTCTGTGGTACATAAATCGTCTTCGCTTGAAACTTCTATGAATTTACATATTCCTGAAATTTCATTAGAATAATAACAAGTCACAGCACTAAGGGGATGGCCAGAAATGACGTAATTTAAATTTTAGGATTTTTGACCCCCCCCCCTCCCCATGTCATCATTCATTTTAGGAAATGTAAAATTAAAACATAATTCTGGCTAGAATTATATTAACTACAAGTGTCTAAAAATGGAAGATGTGTAACATCATCATGGTCTTAACCCCCCTCCCCCCTTAGAAAATGACGTCATTTCTGGCAGTCCCCTAACTTTGTACTCAATACGATTAATGGCGATTCCCTTTTTATTTTGATCTTCCAAACCTTTAATATCGTCATCGAGATTTTCGTTGGACGGACATTTATTCTTATTTTCCTCAACTTCAACACGATAATCGGCGATTCCTTTTTTATTTTCATCTTCCGAATCTTTAATATCGTCGAGATTTTCGCCTTTTGATTCTTTTTCCTCAACTTCAACACGATAAATGGCGATTCCTTTTTTAATTTGATCGGTTGTTTTAGTGATTACGTTAATTTCAGTATTTTCGACTTCTGGTTCATATTCACTAGTTTTATTATCATGTTTCTTTTCCTTTGTCCCTTTCATATCCTCATCAACGTTTATGCGAGATATTGCGACGAGAATTAAAGATTTCCCGTCCGTCTTATGCATATTTGATATATCAAAAGACCATTTAAATGGCTCTCCTTTTTCATTCTCATTCGAGTCCGTCTTATCATTATGCATATTTGATATATCAAAAGACCATTTAGATGGCTCTCCCTTTTTATCCTCATTCGAGCTACTTTCTTCGCTTTCTTCGTCAGTATTATTCATAGGATTACATTGTTTATTTTGAGTTTGATTAAAAAATGACGACTTGTTGCTTTTGTAAAAGACTTTAATGGTAAAGTCATCATTTATTTGAAAATCAGCGACAGTTTCATTAGTACTGGGTATATCATCAATTTCACTGGATCCATTAGAGTCATCATCTGGTCCATACCGTTTGCTCTTACCGAACTTAGGTGGACGATAATCTCTATTTTGCAATATTTTAATTCGAAGGTTTGCTATTTTTTTCAAGAAAAATAAGAAAAATTCATTAATATATACATATATGTTTAAAATTATGTACGTTATATTGTAATAATGAAATTTATTTTTTACCCGTATCAAATGTAACAGCAAATTTTCCATCTTGACAAATTGCAATTTGATAATCTCCAGTGGTATAATCTTTAGCTTCATAACCAACACTTTTATCACTTTTAAATGAATATGCTTCATTTTTAAATAAGTTTTTTAAAACATGTTTATGTGTATTTTTATAATATTTAATTTGATAAGTTTTTACTTGTACTTTATCACCCATAATTTTTATTAAAAAGACATTCAAAAATTTTTTATTTTGATAATAAAATCGAGGGAAGATAATTCGTGAGAGTACTCAATTTATTTTTTTTTTCATGAAAAATAAAAAAAAAAATCCTGTGTTGTGACACAGCAGAATCTAAATCTGAATTACAATAAATATTACTAATAAAAAGTTTTTTGCAATTGAACTTAATTTTATTTAAAAATATAAATTAGTAAATTCTATAAGCCGTGAAGACCATTACATGCATTTACATGCATTTACATGTATAAATATAAGCCAATTATTATTATTTTTTTTTCCTCTTTGTAAAATCCAAAAACGATTATATTAACACGCGTTCCATACAGATCTACATTGTTTATTACCTAATAAGGAAAGGCCTGGACCGTTCTATTCTGTAACACGTATGGTCACGTGATCCTTTTATATGTGATGTTTAACCATATCCTACATACATAGCCAACCATACAATACATGTTTACTATGCTCTCTAAAAAGTCGCAACGCACAATACAATTTTGCATACCCTACATACATAGGTATCCATACACTACATGTTATCGTAACACCCGCCCAATACTATTAGTTGAGTTACGACAATAACATGAAACAATTGAAACATAAAAAAATTAAAAAAAAAATTTATTTTCAGTACCGAAAATGGAAAAAAAACTAACTAAAAAAATTTATTTTTCGGTTTGAAAGTATTGGACTGGATAAACTGAAAAAAACAGTTGATTAAAAAAAAAATCATTTTTTTTAGTATCAAAAAAATTTCAGTCTACAAAAAAAAGATATTTTTAAAAAAAAGGTAAACCGGATAGCTTCAGCAATGCGATCTGTTGCACCCGTCCCAAGAGGATGGAAAATGGCTGAAAATGAAATGTGAATATATGAAAATCCGCATCGTAGTTATTGTAGAGTAAAAAACAGACAATACCCTTTTCCTATTCGGTAATCTGTTGTACTCTCTAAAATATATTGTTACAATTTTTTTATATATTTTTTAAAATAAAGTGACCCATAGACCCGGTTAAACGATCATCAAAACACATACTCTGTTTGGTTGTGATCTACACGAAAAATTTGCCTGCTGTATAACGCCCCCTCCCTATGAATATATATCTTTCATTTTTTTCATTCATAAAATAAATAAAAATTTTTTTCATAAAAAAAAATTTTATGGGTTACTCAACATATTATGCAATATTTATACTTTATTACACAATATAAATTTATCAATTTATCAAATCAAAAAATTTTTATTCATTTTCTTCATATAAAAAAAATATTTACGAAAAATTTTAGAGTATTGCTAAATATCACCGCTGGTGATTGTCAACTTACCAGAATTAGGGTAGAATTTCGGGCAGAAACATTCTTCTGACGTTTAGAATACCCTCATTTGAATTGTGTAACAGGAAAACCTGGGATATACTATTGGATCATGTGTAAGTTCCGATTGGTTTTTTTTGGTTTTTTCCTTTTAATACTGACCTGGCCAAACTAAATTGAATTTTACAACTGGAACTGTTTACTTCAGTTCGGGCAAACATCAATCGGTGTGCTTAATGAGACGATTCTACTAAATAATATATCGAAAATTTTTTATAAAAGATTGTTTTACACTAATTGCAAAAAGAATGGACCACCCAATTCATTTTCATTCCGCATGAGATTATTACTGATCGGCATAATTCTGGCCAAATTATAATTCCGGCCAGATTTTTAGATCACCAAAAAAAGGAAATGATCAACTTAACGTGTGTGTTAATTCTGGCCAACATTATAACTTGACCGGATTACTGCTGATTATGCCGGAACGGAATAATCTAGTGAATTTAATAATTATGAGGCGCAGTTTTATATTTAGATTAAGTTTATAAATTTTATTTGTATTATTATTAACTGCAGTCCGGAATGACGTTAAACTATCAAACATGTTCGATTGAAACATAAGATATTGTAAGTATTTATTAAACGAGGCTACAAAGAAATCACCTGATTAAAAGATCTACAAGATTAATCATCTGAACGAAATGAGGTTTAGAGAATACTTTTACAACGGAATTATTGAACAAAGGAAATGATCAATATCTATATAATCAGCATTTATCTGATTATTTGAAAAATAAGAAATAATAATTCCTTTTACCCTTATGATTCCTTTTGCCTTTTTCTTATTATGAAAAAGTGCCTCCTTAGTTAATTTAAGGATTGATAGAACGTATATGAGGAGAAACATCAAAGTTTGATTTTTAAATTTAGTTTAGGATAGAATATTGTAAGCATGATATATTTGTATAGCATAGATATTATATTAGTATTTAATAAAACAATATTTCGTTAACGACTCAACGTGGTAAGGACCACACCACGAGATTGAGCGTTACAGTGTGTACGATATGGCTACATATGAAACTTCAAAGTAAAATGAATTGGATTGTCCCTTAATTTTGCAAATAGCTGTAATAATATTAATTTGTTTTTACATATCGGCAATAACAATGACATAAAAATTATTATTGTGTTACGTTTAACTGAAGCAGAGTATATAAATGAATAACCGACAATACCATCTCCTAAAGTTTTTTAATCTGTTTCAATGGAACAGAGCTTTGCCGGCCATATTAGATACATCATATTGAACATGCTACAAGTACATAGTAGACAATTAACTTTTTTAGATAATAATAATAAGAATTTTTTAATAACAATATAATGTGATTTAGAGGAATAATAAAGTTTAATTTTTAGCATAGTAATTTTACCTCTGCGATGGTCTGGTTGACTTTTGTGGTCATTTCTTGGCGGGTCTATCTGGCAATTGAATAAATAGTCCTTCATTACACTCTGAACCAATCATAATCAATTTAGTTAATTTCTATTTTAATAAATTAAATTAATTTTCATTTAGCAATAAAAATATAAAAAATATAATAAGATCTCAATGCATATTTTTTAAAATTGATAGTTCAAATAATCAATGAAGCTGCTTTTGATTTGTAAGTCAAGTATGAAAAAAAATATTATAACGATTTATCGTAAACTAATTAAATTTTAAAATAATAGTGATCTTTTTTCTCATTGCCAACCTTTTTTCTCTCATATTCATCCCTTCTAATAATTTCAGCTTGATTGAAAATTAATTTGTTAGACCACTTCCATATTATTTGCAATAATAGGTTATACATGATAGTGGTACATACATCGTGATTTTTGTAGCTGAAGCGTCTTATTAAATCTTCCAAATCTTTTGAAGGAGAATAAAATGAGATTCAAAATATTCCATTACACAAAATACGATATGTATTAATACAAGCATTTGAATATGTAATGAATTTTCTGATTCTATGGTATAATACTTTACATACTAGCGCTGGAATATTGGTAACGAAGATGAAAAAGAAAAAATTACAAAAGATTCAGATAATATGGGAATTAACTTTAGGTCAGCACCCAGCAATCCTTTGTTCGTTTTTCTCATGAAGAAAATTTAATAAAATAACATACAATACATTTACTTCGGTAATGTTTGTCATTAATAATAAAACATCGACGGCTAGATTAACAAATATTCAGTTAAAAATTATTATCCCAGGATTAGATAGATAGTAAATTTCTAACAGTTATCAATTTTATTAATTTTATTTATCAATAAAAATTCCTGAAACAAAAGATTTTCTTTTTATAGATAAATGAATTTTTCAATAAAACAAAAACGATAATAATAGGAAAAGTAAATAATTATAAGTTGTCAAGGATATCTTTTAGATCAAGTAAATTTTCCATTTCTTTTCTTGGAAAATACTTGTCTTTGAAAGTTTCTGGAACATTTGAGAAAAGTTGGTGATAATCTGGCAACAAATAACTCATTAAACTCATGTCGGGAATATAAGTTATTGTGTTTGCATTGCTTCCAAATCGAATATAATCTATTTGCTATAAAAATTAAAGAATAATGTTATGTTTTGTTCTGAAATGGAATTAATCTGAATAAGTAAAATAGGAATATACCATTTCAATAGAATTTATTTCAATTGAAAGTTGAGAATTATATGGGCTATATACTGGAGTCTGATATTCTATCCATCCTAACTCCTCAAGTTTTGACACAACTTCATGTTTTAACATATAATCTTTTTGATAATCCTATAATTAAATTATTATTAATTTAAATTATTATTAATTTAAATTAAATAAAATAGAGGTTTTAAGTAATTCACTTACATTATTAAGTATAAATTTTATAGAGCAATCTTTAGATAATATTTTTTTAACATTAATTTTACAAATAAGATAAATCCAACCATAATTTTTTAATAAAGGCAAATCCAAACGAAGTTTTTCATTTTTTGAACACAATACCAGCCCTGATAAACTTTTATTTTAAGATCATGGTTAATTTGTAATTAAGTCAATTTGGCACTTAAAGTATTATTATGAATAGACTTTACCTGCTTATATCACTTTCTTGAAATTGACTAAGTTCACTATTCAAATTTGTAAGATTTGAAATAAAATAAAGATTTCTTTCTATAATAAATTATTTCAATTTAAATATGTTAATAATTAATAACTTTGAATAATAATATAATATTTTCTTACCTTTATACATGTATTTATTGAATTCACTAACAATTCCAAGGTCAGTAAGGTCATCATAAACTTTATATAAATATGGCCAAATCTTTGAATGTTTTTGTAATAAGTGAAGATATGAAAAAGTTTTGTAATAATATTTGTATTGATTATTTAATTTAAATAACGTATCCAAATCTACTTTGGCTTTATAATACTTGTTTAATTCGATATGTATTTTACATCTAATTAAAAGTAATAATTCATTCTCGCTAATATTAGGGATTTGATTGATTTTCGTTAATATACCATTTAAATCAGGATGACTATTTATATTTAATAAGTATTCTAGATGAAATAATTGAATCTTTGCCAAATCATTATCAATACTCTGTGATTCCAATATTTCTGTATACTTATTAAATAATATCTTAGTATTATTAATATCCTTCTTTGTATAATATGTTAGACTTTTAAAATAATATGCTGAACTATTTAATGGATCTAATTGTATAATTTTATCAAGGTCTAATAAAACTTTATTATATTCTTGAAGAATATAATATGTAATAGCTCTCCTATTCAAATTATGAATATTTTCTGGATCTATAATATTTGCATTTGTAAAATATAGTATAGCCTTATTATATTGTGTTAAATTACATAAAATTTCTCCATAATAACATAAAATTAGTGAATCCTTCTCATCAATATTCAGCAATTTATCTAACATTTTTAAAGTATTTATATCATCTCCTTTCTTATTATAACTGTATGCACAATTTTTAAGGCATAAATAATTATTTGGATCGTTTTTTAATGCAATTTTATAGTTTTCTATAGTTTCATGATCATCACCATAATAATTACGTAATAAGTGAATATTTCCACATATTATATATAAATTATTCAGTTTTACTTTATAATCTAATGATTCATATAAACTATCCATTGCTTCATTATATTTACTTTGTCTAAAATATATTTCTCCACGAATATAATAAGCAATTGGTTTTTTTGGATTCAAAATAATAGCTTCTTTTAAGTATAAATGTGCTTGTTCATAATTATTAAGACATCTATAAATATAAGCTAAAATACATCTTAAAGAATAACTTTTAGGGGAATAATTTAAACGCTCTTTACATAAAGATTCAGCTTTTTTATAATTTTTATCATTTATTTCTTTTATAATATTTTGATATGTTGGATGTTGTCTTTTTGTAATTCTCGAAAGTATTGATGATGATATCTTTGAATTTAATTTAATAATTGAATTCATAAATTTCTTTTTTTTAGTTAATGTATGACTAACTACTGAATTATCTGAATCATCACTATCATATAATTGATCTAATTGATCAGAATTTCCTGATTTTATTGAAGGTATAATATGTCCAGATTCAAAAAATTTTGTATATAAATTTTTGTAAATTGAATTTTGTGGTAAATATCTAATATCATTATCTTCAATTTTTTCTCGACAATTAGGACATATTTTTTGTTTCAACTTTTTTAGATTATTTAATGATAATACGTGTTCACATTTTAAGATACATAATTGATCTGTTGGTTCATTACTAATTGGACAAGTAATTTCATCTGCTATAACATTTAAAATGTTAGAATTTAGTGATGGTTCTTTCTTTAAATATGAATTTTGATTTAAGCCTTTTCCTTTTCCGATATTATTACTTAGAATTTTTAAATCTTCAAGGTATTTCTCTTTAGTAAAATTTAATAAATTTCGAAATTTCTCTGAAGAATCTTCCAAATTGTTTTCACTTAACTTTTGTGCATATTGGTCAAAATCAATTTCAATCATTGAAAACATTTCATTATCAATATTATATAAATGTAATAATAATTCAATAGATTTAAACTGAATCAAACTACTTGGTGCTTTATTAAGTGATTCAATTGCTAAATAATAACAAAGACAATATATTGCTATTCGAGATGATCTTTGGATAAGATTTTGTGCAAGATCTAATATTCCAAACCATAAAGTATGTGGTAATGCAATAGGTTCATTTCCAGCAAGATCATTTAGAAAACCTCCAGTATTTTGCAAAGCTTTAGTGACTTTATTTGATACTTCATCAAATTTTGTTTGAGAATCTAAAATAGATTTGTCAGCAGCATTAACCCATTCACTTTCCAAAAAGCTCCAAATATATTCCATTAATACCAATTCTCCAAATTTTTTACTTATAATCTTTTCATTTTCAGACCAAATGAGAAGATTATGTTGAATTATTAACATAATTCTCCAATCTACATAATAAGATGCTACTGGATATTTAAAACTTAAACTTTGACGTATTTGAGCAAGCATTAATAAGATTGAACAATTATCATTTGGAAGTGTAACTCCTGTTGTTGATAAAATTCCCGGTGTAATATTCAATGCAGCTTTAAGAAAGTCCTTAATTCTTCGTATAATTTCTTGAAACCAAGTTTCATCATCACGTAAACTATGAAGAGTATCTCGCAAATGAATTAGTAAAAAATCAATATTATAATTACACTTTTTGATAATTTGTTCATCTTGACTATTGTTTTGTTGATTGAATTGATTGAAATTTGATCTAAAATTATTATCAAGCCCTTTTTCGATAACCTGTGTTGTTTTACGATGAATTTCTGAAAATCTTGTTAAAGAATTATAAACTTTATCCCGAAGTTCTTTACTAAGTACTATTGGTGAAAAACATATCCTTTCTAAAGCAGTAACCAAAGTTCTTAAATGTAATTCTAATCTAGCAACACTTTCTTTTGAATAATGATTAAAAGGAGTATCAACTAAAGCTTCTAATGAATTTGCTAAAACTTGAGATGAAAACTCATTTTGTAAATTTTCAAAAAGCAATTTGAGTGCGTACAAATAATTTGGTTTAGTCAAATTTTTTAAAAGTTCTTCTACTTTGTCATCTAGCATAATAAATCCATCCTCTTCTAATTTGAGAAGGATACGATTGTTGGACATATTTTCAAGCAAAATCGTATTATACGAAAGAAAGTTATTATTTTTTAAGTTACCATGAGCAGTATTGGTAGAAGAATTTCCACTCTATATTATATAAAATAATTTTTTAACGATTTTGCAAAAAATTAAATTTTAATATTGTTTAAATAATAATTTACCTGGCTTGAACTTCCTTCCATATTTTTTATTAACAAAAGAAGTAAGAAAATATCAATTTCTATACCGACAGAATTAAGTAAAATTAAAATTAAAATTTATGTAACACAAAAACGCCATTTGTACTATTTGTACTTCCACATCTCATTGATTCAAATGTTGATCAGCGTGATTTGATGGTACAAGTCCGTCATAAGTCCGGTCACCACCGATTGGAATCTGATTGGTCTATTCTTGAGTAATCATAGGATATTTTTTATTTTATTTTTATTTAAATAAAACATAAAATTCAGTAAAAAATCAACTCTTTTATAAAATTTGGTAATTGAACAAGCAAAATATATTTATTAGGTGAATTTTATCTTAAAAAAAAGTTTCATTCAATAAAAAGATCCCAATAATTAATATGTCCTTGGGGAACTATTTCCGCCGATCATCATGTCCAAAATTTTGAGGACGCAAAAAACGGCGGAAGAGTGTAAAAGTGTATAAGAAAAGTTTGTTTTAGCACCAGAAAAATATTGCCAACTATTTATTCTATCGTTTAATTTTGGTTTGAGACCTTTTTTGCGAGTCATTGATATGAAGAAGGGACAGTCGGGCTTTTTTCAAGTTTTTTTTTCACTTTCGACTAGATAGGCGTTTCGAGCCTAGCAAGTTTTATAAGAACTCATAATACCATAAAAAGTCGGCGGTGAACGAAGAGTTTTAGACGGAGTCTGGCACCTATTTTTCGCTTTGATCTTTTGCGAGCTTGGACTTGAACCGACTTTGGACTTAGCTTCCTGGGAAAATTTTCGTTCCGTGGCGCAGCAAAATTTTGACGTGTGCTTGGGATACCAAACAGGAAAGGTTTTTTTACCTGTCGGTACCAAATTGATCAGAGATCATCGATTTACATTAGTTACGTGAATTACGCAAAGTTTAGTACCGTCGGTATCTCAACACCCGCGTTAGCTCTACCGGCATCTTAAACATCGTTGCCTTATAGGCCATTGGGGAGGAATTCTCTTTCAGATTAATTTTAATCTTTTTTTATTTTTTAGTTTAATATTTTAGGGATCCAGTGCCGTTTTTTTATTTATATTGGTTTAGACTGGTTGGATATAGGGTTATTGTTAATTTAGTTAATAGTACCTCTATGTATTTAGGCATTTTGTGTATTTACGTTCTTGTAATTATACCTCAATAAAGATGCGTTGCTAACTTAATGATAAAAATATTACTTTTTTTTTTAAAGTAAATTAAAAATACTTTGAAATTGTATTTTTTTTTTTAAACATAATTTCCATGATAAAAGAATTTAAAATTGATTTATTTAATATAATATCCAAATCTTAAAGTTCACTTTTTATGGTTTATAATAATTTTTATGATTAGTTTGATATATATTTCAAATAAATTCAGTTCAGTTATAATATAATAT